CCCCCCCCCCCCCCCCCCCCCCCCGTCTACCCTCCTTTTCGCGCACACAGGTGGCACTCTCGATAAAGTACGGTCACGTTCGCCTGTACGACGACACCGCGGTGAAAAACAAGTACAGGCTACCGGTAGGCATCGGCGCAGTGATCGACGGGGAGTACTTCACGCGCGTCGCCTTTCAGATGATTTCGTCGGACACCCAAGCGGAGACGTTCGAGTGGATGATGGAGTCATGGATGGAAACGCGGGGAGGGGAGGGGCCGGACGTGTTCATCCAAGACGCCGACGGTGCCTGTACTCTAGCAGCGAACAAGGTGTTCAAGGGGGCGAAGAAGCTGAGGTGCCTTTGGCGCTTGTGGAAGAACGTCAAGGAAAAGCTCGGCAGCATCTTGGGCAAAGATTTTGCTGCGAGTACGATATTGCATTTGTGCTGATGAGACTGGAAGTAACGGGGATGTGTGTGTCGTTCCAGTAACAAACTGTGTCATTTCGCTCTGCGCCTGGTGTTGCCACACCCTGGCGACTATATTGCCGTTGGTATGGTTGCCCGATACCAAGAATTGGCGTGTCGGTTGTTGTCGCACAAGTCCAGCCACCCAGCCTCGGTGACTGTTAACCACACCCAACAAGCCCACCACGTGGCTACGACGGATAAGCAATCGCCTCCGTGGCCCTCTCGCGAAACAGCCTCGCCTCTTTATAGCTTTAGTGTAGTACTGTCACCCGACTACGTCCAACCTGTGATTAAACGAAAGTGCTTTGCAGGGCGACTGCTTTGGGCCCGATAGCCTCCCCACCCCCAACTTGAATTATACACAGTTGTCTCAGAAAAAGCCTCCGCCGCTTCCGCCATCGACGCTGTCGTCACCGCCACCCACTAAACTCACAGGCTTTCGCCAACGGCTTCCGGAAGATGCGCGGCCGGTTGTCGGAGACCGGCATGGAGGAATCGTTCGAGGAGCTCTGCGTCAACTTCCCAAAGGCGGAGGTCTACTTGCGGAAACTGTACAACGATCGTCACCGCTGGGCGGCGGCTTTCTTTGTGCTGACGTTCAGTGTTTCGTCGTTCACGTCCAGCCGAGTCGAAGGTGGGCCCTTGCGTATTCAGCGTGTTTGTCCTTCGTGCGTTTTTGCTTGGCGGGGTCGGCCACGCGTTGTTGTTGCACCCCAACAATATTGTCACGTGCTCGTAGGACAACCGCGCCGACGCGTGGGATCACCACGTGTGGAAACGACCCAACTCCTCAACTCCTTTTCCACTGGCCTTTGTAGTGTGCGGTGGCCGTCCATCTACGCCTGGCGTAAATTGTATTATCTTCGAGCAATGCAGTCAAAAAGTACCATGACCCGCACACCTGGTAACCGCGCCAGGTATCAACAGGATCATGAAGAAAGTGTGCGGCGCGATGACTTCTTTGCAAGGCGTCTTCGAGTTCTTCGAAGGAGCAATCGAGAAGCAGGAAGATCGGGCACTCCTTCGCGCCGCTCGGCTTGCCCTTCCTGCTGTGGCGATGCCGGGCGTTGACGACGTGTGGTTCGGGCAGAGGTTCATGGCGCCGATCCGTTTCGGACTTGGGATGTGGCCGTTGCGGTTCATGACGATAGAGATGGAGGCCGCCGCCATTTTTTGTGTTGGTGGTAATGCAGTGCTTGAGGGGGGCGAGCGTTTGGAAGCACTAGGGAAACTAGAGTTCCTGGGCGAGTTGATTGTGGGCGTCGAGACGGTCGCCGTAGTCATGGAAAGCCGTGACGGCCGGGTTATGCGGTACATAGTTTGCGCACACTTCAAGAACTCGGTCTTTGTTGCCGGCACTTTTGGCAGGCCATGCGTTTGAGCCCTAAGTTCAAATTTCACTTAGGCATACTCAATAGGCATTGGCTAACAGAGCAGGGCCTGAGGGAACTGGAGGCTTGGCCACCAGAGTGCAAGCCGCAGTGGATGGTAGCGCTAGTCCACAGCGACGCGTCCAAAGACGACCAGGTACGCCCTCCCACGGTGGTGGTGGGTGACACTTGGCAAGCGATCCCGGAGGATGCCACCATAGAGACTAGGCTGCAGAGGGTGGCGCAGACAGGGCAAAGTTGTCAGGACCGCCGGCTCCTTTACGTGGAAATGTTGAAGAAGGCCACCGCGGCCGTGAGCTCTGGGGTCCAGCTTGTCCCCCCTGATACTATGCGTGCTATCGTGCAGACTTTCGAAAGTAGCATGAACGCCGCGGCGATGATTTCTTCGGGGCAGGGGGCTGTACTGGGCAACCCACAAGCTGTGCGCCAACCAGCTGTTAGAAGTGAAGGTACGAGAGAGAAGTCGAGCTTGGAATACGGCGGGGCAAAGAATAGGAGGCGCGCGCAGCCCAACCACACTTGAACCTTCTTGAGCTTTCGACGGGTTCTGTTCAGGTTTGGTCGTGGAGGGCAAACAGCGAAGTTGAATGACGTCGTGCTCTCCGGGGGGCGGCGACTTTGTGTGTTATGATCCCACCCCCCGCTGTAAATCCCAGGTGATGGGTGACCAGAAAGCATTTTTGGGTTGTTCAACTGTCAACTGTTTTTTCTGTAGCTTTGACGGGGTGTTTTCTACCGGTGATACCGGGGTTGCGTTGTCGTGGAAAGTATTCCGTTCGAAAGAACAGAATGAGACTAAGCAACGAGATTTGTGACAGATATATTCATTTTGTATCGCACGTCTGTGAGCGTCTCCTTCTCCTGTCCTTCTCCTCCTGTGGTCTCTCGTACTGCTGCTTCTTCTCCCTGCTGCTGCTGCTGCTGCTGCCGTTGGTCTTCGGCTGGGCTTGATCGCATGCACGCATCGCCGCCCTCTACCTCGACGGCACTGCTGTTACTCTCTGAATGCACGTCGTCGACTACCGTTCTCCCGGAAAGATCTATGAGGGACATGACTGCTGTGTGGTCTGCTGTGTGGTCTGGTGCGGTGGTCTAGTGGCGCCTTCCTCACAAGAGTGTGTAACTCCGTATCTCGTCGAGTTTCCGTCGGTAGGAAAAAAAATAACCGGTTCTAGGGCGCCTTCCGACAGAAGATTCCATTTCCGGCATCAACAAAAAAAAAAAAGAAGGTTTCGCGCCACCTTTGGACGAAAATAAATGCGGCGGGATCCATTTCACAGGGAAGATCAACTCGGAGCCAAGCGTGCACCTCGCCAATCGACTCCGCTTGGTCGAATTACCCACAAAGGAACTCACTGCAGGGTCTCCCGACCCCACCCCGACGAGATACTGCTCTTTCCCTTTCCGTCTCCTGGACGGTGGCGGCTGCTGCCACCATGCTGAGGCGCGATGTCAAAATTGCGGGAGAAGCGAGGGTCATCAGGCACAGATGGCGCACGCACCCCAGGGGCTATCACCTGACCTCCACGCTGCTGAAGAAGGGCACTGAGACTGCGGCTACCAAGGCAATAGGCTCTGTGGTGGATAACCTCGAGGGCGTTGCACGTATGGCCCGAGAGCATGTTGATGACCTCCAAGAACGGGCTACTAAACGTCGCAAGAAGAAACCGGAAGGAGCCGCCACCAGATCTGCTGCCGCTGCTGCGGTGGCTGCTGCTGCTGCCGAACGAGGTCCAAGGTTAGGAGCCGATGCACGTCTCGCTCGCTCGGATCCGCTTGAGGCGCATCTTTTCAGCGGACCGAGGAGAAGCCCACAACCCACAACGACTCCTCCACGACAACGGCAAACGGTGAGTTCAGAGCGGCGTACGGCAAGAGATAGGGTGGTATCTTGCGTTTTTTTCAAGTGTTTGAATTTCCCTGCTGTAGGCTATTTTAGACTACTGCTGTATTTCCGGTACATTCCCCCCCGGGTGCTCTCCATCTTCCCGCGAAAGTATTGAGTCCCATCCTCACATTTCCCCCCCCTCTCGTCAAAACTGCTTTAAATTATATCGTAATCAAACCCAGGCTATCGACGGGCACCGCGACGGGGTGAAGCAGAGCGTGTTAGAGGATGATGTGTTGAAGGAGGAGCTGAGGGAGTTGCTGCGTGTCGGAGAACTTGGAGAGGCAGCGGCGACGAAGGCTGCTGTCGATGCGGAGAACACTCGCGCACTGGTCGCCTCTATAGAGGCGCTGAAGCAACACTCCCACAGCAACATCGGCCGCACTGCCTACAACACCGTCATTGCCGCAGCTGCCGGAGCGCAGCACACGTGCGATCCTGATGACCCTTGCACCCCGGATGAGCCGTGCGCACCTGCTGAGCCGCATGGTGCCGTCAGCCTTACCGCGCGAGCACAGAGTCTCGGTGTGAGAGATGCCACGTTCCGTGCAGCGCGTACCCGGATGCACAGGACTGACCACACCATACCTCCACAGGAAGCTTTGGAGAAGGGGAGATACCTCTGGGCTCCTCGCAAGGAAAGGAGCGACAAGATGGACGAACGTGTCATGGGTTTGGCGAGGAGGTTCTGGCACTCAGACGATATTTCTCGTGCGTCGGGAGACTCCGGTAAGCGGTAGGCGTTGTCAAAAAAAATTGTTATACAATTGTAGATCGGGGTATCTCCTTTGCCGTTTTTTGTCGACGTGACGTATCAATTGCACTCCTCTATTCCCCTTTAGGTAGCTTCACTATTGCTGCTACACTGCACACTGCTGTTCTTTCGTACACCCCTGTAGGGACGAAAGCTATGTGGAGGCCGTCCAAGAAGGCAGGGGAGGAGTATCACCCCCGTAGGCAGCTCATGGTCGCGGGGGACCAAGTATGGCACAAGTTTCTGAAGTGGCCGGAGTACTTGGGGCTTAAGGCGGAGCTGCTGAGGGAAGACAACAGCTTCACGGACCCTGGGCGGACGCTGTTCCTCTCGACGCGGTGTGGGTGCTTAGGTGGGTAGACATGAGGGGAGAGCTCCTTTTTTTTTTCCCACGAAACAGCGTAGTGACCGTTCCAGCGTAATGAACTCTTCTGCTGTGTCACCGCCCCAGAGGACGGCCTCGTTGCTGACCTGCTGTCCTCCTTTCTGTCCGTTTCAAATGTTCGCTTCTGGTGTGTCACAGTGGAACCCAAGGTATCGCAGTGTGCATGCCAGATCCACACGCAGCAGGGGCTGTACCTGAAGGCCTTCGAGATGTTGATGCCTGCAATACATGCCAACTGTGACTGCACGTGCAAGTGGTGCGACGGGGGGAGTGGGTGTGGAAAGTGGATGGCCATGTGTAAAGATCTGCACAGCTTTTCTGAGGCTTTGGCTTGCGAGAAGGTAGACTTTCTTGAGGAGGACCGAGGGGGTAGGTTTGAGCACTGGGGGAGGAAGCCCGCATGCGTTGCGATGGAATGTTCCGAATGCGGGTTTGGCAACCCAGGCGGCATCCCCATGAACTGCGATGCCCTGGGGTCTATGGCGGACAGAGTAGTCGGGTGGCTTCGGTTCGCGGATCAAGTCATGGAGGATGGGAAAGTGCACAAGAAGCAGCAGCTACCCCAGGGCGGAAAACTGGGTGACCTGTGGCAGGAGTTTGTGGAGCACTCCAAGAAGGTGTGAAGGAATGGACCGCATGTGGAATTGCGCCATCAACTGGAGGCATGTAGTCAATCGTGCATCAACACAATCAATCGCGCAACGTACAACCGTTATTTCCTTTCAACTTACAACTATATTTTCCCGCCCCCCCCCTTGCCCCCCGTTCGTTTTTTATCCCTCAGTATCTTCATCACCATGAGCTAGCAAAGTGGCAGCGCCAAGCCCACAACATGTGCCTGGCGACGTTCTCCAAAGGCGAGCTGTTGGTGGAGACCGACTTTATCGAGAAGTACAAGCACGAGGCTGGCGCTATCTTGACGTGCGCTACTGCGCCCTCCACGACCATGATGGTGGCCCTAGTTCACCACAGTCCTGACGACAACGGCCGGCATGAGACAGACGCATGGGTTTTCGTATCGAGTGATCCCAATCATGACTTCGACTTCCACATCTACGCCATGGACATCATCCTTCAGTACTACATCACGGGGGATGGGCGGGCCGCTACTGCTGGAACCCCGACCCCGACGGTGCACATCTTCACCGACGGGTGCGCCAAACAGTACAAGGGGAAGCGCAACTTTCATGCCGTAGCCAAGAGCTTGCACAGGCTTGGTGCCATCCTCATCCACAACTTCGCGGTCACGTCGCACTTCAAAGGCGCCCACGATGGCATCGGAGGGTTGCTGAAGGCTCTACTGCGAGAAGCGGAGAAAAGGGGCCAGCGCATCCACGACACCGAAGCCGCAGCCGACTTCCTCAAAGCCTACGCCGAGGCAAAGGAGGATGGAGGAGGCCACTTTTCAACCTGGTCTCCCTACCGAATCAGGAGGTTCCACATCAAGCTTCTTGGACACCGAGAGATCCCTCGCCCGTTTGTAGATTTGACCGGCATCTCTGGGAGTTCCAAGCTGTACCAGTTCATGGGAGCGGAGGTCCAGGAGGAGGAAAGCTCGGGCGTGAGCGTAGAGGTGCAGAAAGAGAGCGGGGTTCCTCCCCTCGTAGGTGGCGAGAACGAGGTTGTAGTTAACCCGCTGAGATGGCAGGCAGACGAATCAATCGTTCTGACGGTTCCGGCTGTCACGAAGCGATACAAGCTGCGCGTTCGCCAGGCGTCGTGCTACTGCTCGAAGTGCAGTGTTGGAGCTTACGACGACTGCGTCCCGGCCAAAAAGTATGAGGGGATGGTCGGTATGGTGAAGGATGTGTCGGGCAAGCACAAGGTAACCCGGACGTCTTGTGGTGTAGGGGATTGAGGGGTGTCCGTGTTGCACGTCATGTGCTGATTGACGCCTTTTTCTCTTCGATGTTCTTCTGTTTTTTTGGGTAATTTTGTTGCAGTATTTGTACTTTTTTTGTTGCTGTGTGCTGTTTGTTGCATGTTGCTGTATTCACGTGCAGCAGCAGGTCGTCTCCCTTGCGGTTTGGGATACCAAAAAAGGGTCTCCAGCAGGAGAAAACAATATTTGCAGGCGCTGGTGGCTAATATTTTCACGGTTTGTCGCCCAAATAGGCTGTCTTTTTCCATATATATATTGCACAACATACATTATTTTCAAGCACGTCGGTGAAATAAATGTCCCATATGTCACAGGGTATACTTGGGGTAAATCTCCGCGGTTGCACGCATCAAGTAGCCCAAAAAACGCGCTTGAAAATGGCCCTATAAACACGTTTTATCGCCGTTTTTCCAAAGGGGGGGGACGTTTTAGCCTCATCCCCGTTTTTTTTTTTTCATACAGTGTGCAGTATAAAACACTACATATGGCTGAAACCTCAACATCCCGACGTCGGGCACTCAATTTAACCCGCGGAACTAGGCCTACACCCCACCAAAGCACCCTGACACACTTTTTGGAGCTTTAGTCTTCGGGGAACATCATCAACTGGACCGCTGCACACTCGAGCGCGGAAGGCGCCTAGTGCTGTGGTGTTTCGCTGCTGTTTTTAGTTTGAAAAGGGGTTTCTTGGTGTGTGGTTTAGGAGGCGTTCGAGTCGTGCACGTTTTTATTTGCAAGTGCGTCGTGCAAATAGGGGTAGCCCACCGCTGTGAAAAAATATTAGGAGAAACAAATATACACACAGAAAGACTACCCGTTCGAGGTATAACTACACTCGAAGGGGATGTGTTGAAGTCTTTACAGTGAGTAGAGGAAAACCAGCTGGGTACTTGACTTATTTCGAGTTTGTTTAAGCCTATACACTGATGATTTATATCAGTGATACCAGTTGGTGCTTAGCACAAAAAACATCTGCGTAGGTACATTTACATGTGGCCTGCACAGGGAACACGGCGCAATATGTCATGTTGACAGTAGTTGCTGGTTTAATTTAGAAAAATACATATATTAGGAAAAACAAATATGCACACAGAAAGACTACCCGTTAAACACATAAAAGCTCCCTGTTCGAGCGAAAATCATAGTCGTTCGAGGGGGGCTTTTTACAGCAGTATTTAGGAAAAACAAGTATACGTGCAGAAAGGCTACAGTATGCACACATGCATCATCATTACGACAATCTCTCTATTCAACTGTAATTTTAGGTACGTACGATATATCTACTTTTTTTTGGAATCCGTGAAACAAACTGGTTCTAAATCACCTGGTTCAGAACTCTTTTTGCCAGGCCCTAGACAGAAACAAACCAAATTTCAAATTTCAAAAAAATCATACAGCCGCCGGTAGGTGTACACATGTTGTTGTGAAGACCGGCAACCAAATGGAACTCGACCAAGAGAGGGACTCCTGCCTGCAGCAGTTGGTTCCCGACGGATACACGCTGCGCGACAAGCTCAGCATCGAGAGACAGAAGCCACGAAAGTATCGGTTAGTGCTGCACTCAAGGTCGCGAGCCAACAATACTGAGTTGAAATGGCGGAGCCGNTTCTAAATCACCTGGTTCAGAACTCTTTTTGCCAGGCCCTAGACAGAAACAAACCAAATTTCAAATTTCAAAAAAATCATACAGCCGCCGGTAGGTGTACACATGTTGTTGTGAAGACCGGCAACCAAATGGAA